ATTAAAAGCTTGTTTCAAGCAAATTAACGACAATTTGGTGAATCTGCGAAAAGTCGTGACGAATGGTGAGCCATATCTCTTGAGCGGCACCTATCACGAGCAAAGAATTCCATTTCTCCTGATGGAGATTACAGCTTTGAAAAAGCAGCATCTGGCAATCAGCGACGCAGTACATATACTAAAAATGGTCTTCAGTTTGCATCTTCTTTCCACGATACTTATGACTTTCACTCAAATTATCTTTCATCTGTACTTTTACTTAATGCAAATACACCTGGGTTTATATCTGAGCAATGAAGATAGACAGATTTTTTTTGAGGCCTGTATTATAGCTGTAACATATTACTCTATAAAATTGATGTTGATAGTGTGGGCCTGCGAAACCGGCAAGAATCAAGCCATGGAAATCAGTAGCACCGTTCACGACGTGTTCAATAATGCCAGCAATAAGCAAATAAAATATGAGGTAGGTTTTTATAAAAAAATTATAACTTTAGTGGCATATTTTATATAAATTTTCCTAATTATGTGTCGCATATACTAATGCAATCTTTAATATGATAATTTTCCAAATTTATAATTACATCTTTTAATCCTGTATTTAACAATTATTTGATCTGACGTTGCAGATGCGACTATTTTCCTTGCAATTATCGCATTGTGAAAATACATTCTCCGCAAAGGGGCTTACTGTGGACGCTACGCTCCTCACTGAGGTGAGCAATCACTCATTTGCTTTCATTAAATAAATGTATATTTGGCTTTATTTTATGATGTTGTTTTTTTTAGATGGCAGGTGGCATTATCACCTATGTATTGATCTTGATACAATTCCTGTTCATGTCGAGTTCTTGCGGTGGAAAATCTTTAAAGGATACGATCTAGTTAATAAAAAGATGCATTTAATTGAACACACATGACCGAACATAAAAAAGATATTTTTAATATTTTTTTTATATCTTTGTAAGTAGAATATCGTTGTGAGTAGAGTCGCTCGTGGTGTTTTATGGTTATAGAGAAACTTGTATATACTTAAATAATACATTTACACAGAGAAAATCTTATATCACATATGTGTTAATAACCAGTTGCAAAGAGATATGTTTTATTTATTTAAGTGCACAGTCAGACTGTGTATGTACGTAGTAAATGCATATCTGAGAAATATCACTTTGGAATTATTAAACGGATTTCAAAATCTAATTTTGTAATTACTTTTGTGTTGTAATTTATATAGATTAATGTTTAGATATTAATAAGTTAGCTCAATATAAAATTTATTTGTAGTATGTAAGAATATGTATAATTAATATAGATGTTAAATCGTGTTTCGGATGAAATGGTGCTCTGCAATGATTGATACATTACGGTACTCTAATAATATACATATAAATAAAAGAGAAATTATTTTTACATTATTATTGTATTATGTCGTATTAATGGTAATATTAATACGAAAATTCAGTGATTAATGCAATCTTGCGAATTCGAAATTATAATTTCTGAGATTTCTGTGATGTAGATATATTTTTTTCTTGAATCAAGGAGGATTTATATTATTTTGACGTTTGCTACTTTATAAATAAAATACGATAAATATGTTTTAAATATTATGTTCAAGGTGTGTTTTTTAAGTAGATAATAATAAAATAAGTTCATGGAAATATATATAAAACAAAGAATTTCTTATACCTTATAATGAATCAGTTTACATACTTATAATGATGATTTATCTAACAGTGATTTATTTGCGATAGCGGTTTCGAAAATAATGTTCTCATTCATTCTCGAATGACGGATATATATGTGGCTTACAGCTAAGGTTACGATTTATTGTAATCAAAATCAATTCACAATTATAATCATTATACATGTGATAAATATTAAGTTTTAGACGTAAAGGCTTTATAATGTAATACATTGTTAGAAATCAATAATTTCGATTCCAGTTTAATGTAGAATGCGATGAGCACTTTATTACATTGCGGGGAAAAATAACTAAAAGAAAATGTAATTGTAAATTAGCGCAATACATGAAACTATCATCGCGCTTGCATTCAGTTATTCGATGTTTCGTGGAACATTAAATAACCAAAGAAGTTTGTGCGATTTTCGGTAGAATTCACTGCAATAAATTATTTTATTTTAGCAGTTTGCGGAGTTCAAGTTCTTATGTGCGTCATAAGGCACGAATACGCATCAATCGATGCATTTTTATTTGCTGTGTATACTTTTTCTGTGAGTTTAAACTCTTTTAAAATGTCAGTTGAATCTATTGCAATTCGAACTTGTTTGCTTTATGAAGTTAAATTCGGTTCGGAGGCTGCAGATGCGGCTCGTGAGATATGTGTAGCATTTGAAGACGACGCGGTAAAAGAACGTACCGCACATAAATGTTTTAAAATGTTTACTTTCGCAGGTGAATTATTTAAATATGCACCATTTTGTTCAATGAAACTCGATTTATTATGGATAATGAAAAATTACGTGTCGCTATTAAAAACAATTCGAAAGTAATGTGCCAATAACTTACTCAAATGTTTAATGTGCGTGATGAAACAATTCGTCCACATTTGCAGCTTGGAATTTTTAATATAAGAAACTGCACGAACTTTTTCGGTAATATTTTTCGAATCGTCTACGGACTTCGATTATTTATTGCCTATATATAAATATCGCAGCAAGTAATTAAAAACATTAGTTTTTCTAGTCGTAAGCTAAATAGAAATTGACTTGCTAGATCAGGGAATTTGCAAGAAAGGAATATATTTTACTAACAATAAGTCATAATCAAAACAACAGATATAATGCTTATTCGTTTCGTCGAATAAAATTCTAACTTATTAATGAATAGAGAAGAAGTAAGCGTAAATGATGACGTAAACTACATTGCTCCTTTATACTCATTGTCAAAGAATTTAAGTTCAAAACTGCAAACAATTGCTGACTCAAGCGAGCAAGGCTAAATGAATATTTTGTTATGCGTCAAGTAACTATGGTGCTTTTCGATGGACTGTGCTCTCGAGAGTCAATGTGTACAATAATGATGTGTAATTGTCGCGATCTATTAAATTAAGTATGCAAACATGAAATGGTGCGTGTCCACTTGCGAGTAAGAACTCTCGAGAGCAAAAAGAGAGAAAGAGAGAGAGACTCTCGAGAGTATCTCTCTCTCTCTCTCTCTTTCTTTTTGCTCTCGAGAGTTCTTACTCGCAGGTGGAGACGCACCAAAACAGATAATATCTACTGCACAATATCCATGTGGATGAGTAATTCTCTAAGATAATGGTATTTTCCTCTCCTTTGACTTTTTGCTCTAAAAATTCATGTTTTTAATGCATGTATAGAATATTCGATATTTTTATGGCACGATGTTGAAATCTATTTTTTGTGTTTTATCTCTATTCTAATTTCCATTATACCAGTATCGACAGTCCATAATTAATATATATAATTTAATATCTTTTAAGCATAGATACTATTATATGCATAATGTCTAATTTTAATAAAAGATAATGGAAAAGAAATACGAGTGTAAGAAACTTTTAATTTAATTAATTAAAACATTATATAGCATGTATATTCACAAAATATACATGCCAGAAAGGAGTAAAAAGTAAGTGCATTGCTAATAATCATAGTCAGTCGGAAAAAATCTTACCATATGAGTCCAACAGCAACATTTATGTAAAGTAAAAGTTTGCCTTTTTGTTCTTGAATTTATATCAGCACGAGATCTATCTGCTATAACTTTTTACTTACCTATATATGAATCTAATAAAAAATTGTGAAATATCTTGATAATGTTTGTTCGTTTTGTACAAGTTCTAGATGCGCAAGATTGTGACACAGCAATTACACATCATTAACTTAGGCGTGCTTCGGAGATGATAAGCAAAAAGTCGTAGTTACATTATGACATAAAAAATTCTTAAGTTCTGTTTTGCAACATGACACAATAATTGTTAGTTAGCTTTAAAATTAAACTCGTCAGGTGCATATAGACTGAGAGAAATTTATTTCAGTTTATTTATTAGTTGTAGGAATGCAGCAGAAAGTTATACACTTAGAAAATAAATTCTTGTAAACAGATTGATATAAGAGTGCATTGATAACATAATTAATATTTCTTATATATATTATAGTTTATGATTTAGATTATCGTTGTTCAATAATGATTCAGTGAACATGTTCAACACGTCATCGATGTTCCAAGGACTCAAAGGAAAAAGAAAAGGAAAAATATGGCAGCTATTCCGCGCTACGGATTTTGAATCGTTGATGTATCCCTGCTTCATGTTTTGCCGCATTCTGGGAATATTTCCATACAAGATCAACGCTTCGACCATCAAAACTTGCAAACCACGCTACATACTTTCGACTATCATTACAGGCGTTTTTTGCATCTTCGAATTAATTAATCTCTATGATCTCAATATTTCTGAAAATAGTTTAAATAAAGACATTGTGACAACCAAGATACTTCAACATAACTGTTTCTCCATTATTGGTGTTCTTATGGCAGTCACCGCATTCATTCTGAGTGGACCACGAATGCGTTTTCTTCAGACCTTGTTGGAGCTCTCTTTGAAATTACCTTCGGAATCATATAAGAAATTATCTAGGCTGATCCATGCCAAGGACATTCTAGGATTCTTCTTTCTAGTCGTGCTATTGCTGATGTGTCTGATCACAATGCAATATAGTGTCTGGCGCCAGTTTCTTATATCGTACATTCACTTGCTGATGTTTCAGATGAATATGCTATATATGAACTGTGTTTGCATATTAAAAGTTTGTTTCAAGCAAATCAACGACAATCTGGCGAATCTGCGAAAAGTCGTTACGAATGGTGAGCCATATCTCTTGAGCGGCACCTATCACGAGCAAAGAATTCCATTTCTACTGATGGAAATTATAGCTTTGAAAAAGCAGCATCTGGCACTTAGCGACGCAGTACATACGCTAAAAATGGTCTTCAGTTTGCACCTTCTTTCAATGATAATTATGAGTTTCACTCAAATCACCTTCAACCTGTACTTTTACTTAATGCAAATACAGCTGGGGAATCAGGGTATACATCTGAGCAATGAAGAACGCCAGATGTATCTTGTGGCCTGTATTACAGCTGTATCAGTATACTTTGTAGAATTGGTGCTGATAGTGTGGGCCTGCGAAACCGGCAAGAATCAAGCCATGGAAATTAATAGCACCGTTTACGACGTGTTTAATAGTGCCAGCAATAAGCAAATAAAATATGAGGTAAATTTTTATAAAAAATTGTAACTTTAGTGGCATATTTTATATAAATCTTCCTAATTATGCGTAGCATATACTAATGCAATTTTTAATATGATAATTTTTCAAATTTATAATTACATCTTTTAATCCTGTATTTAACAATTATTTGATCTGACGTTACAGATGCGACTATTTTCCTTGCAATTATCGCATTGTGAAAATACGTTCTCCGCAAAGGGGCTTATTGTGGACGCTACGCTCCTCACTGAGGTGAGCAATCACTTATTCGCTTTCATTAAATAAATGTATATTTAGCTTTATTTTATGATGTTGTTCTCTTTTAGATAACAGGTGCCATTATCACCTATGTATTGATCTTGATACAATTCCTGTTCATTTCGAGTTCTTGCGGTGGAAAAACTTTAAAGGATACGCTCTAGTTAACAAAAAGATGCATTGAATCGAACACACATGTCCGAACATAGAAAAGATATTTTTATGCTCTTGCAGTTTTAAATTCAAATTCGGTATGTATAGATCGACAATGAAGAGTACATATCGGTATACATATTTGTTGTAAAAAGCAAAACTCTAAAGCTGTACTAAGAATGAAGCTTAGATTCGGTTAAATAAATGTGGCACGAGTTCCCGAAGATTCGTAAGATTGTCGTTGATTCTGTTGAAACAAGTTTTTAATATAAAAGCATATAGTTAACGATCAAAGCTAATAATCATAGCAGATCGGAAAAAAATCTTACCATAAACCCAACAGCAACATTAAATATGTAAGATGCAATATGCAATTACTTAATTGCTTTATTGAGTGATATTATTTTTTGTCAGTTATATTATATGTAAGAAACAATTTTTTATGTAAAAATTTATAAAATGCATTTATATATTAAACAAGAAAAACTTTGTTTTATTTAAATTAAAAACTTGCCTTTTTATTCTTGAATTTACATGGCACGATATATATTTACTATAACTCTCTCTATTTACCTATATATGTCTAATGGGAAATAACGAAACATCTTGATAATGTTCACTCGTTTCACATGTTTCAGATGCGCAAGGTTATGAATTATATGACTAGGAAATTATATATCATTATTTTAGTACTTCGAAAGAAGTTATATATAAAAAATTATATAACATTATCTGCGTGCTTCGTAATAAGCAAAAAACCATAACTTACAATTTCCTGAGTCCTGTTTTGCAACACGACGCAATAATTGTTAGTAGTTTTAAAATTGAACTCGTCCGGTATAGATAGACTACGAGTTTATGTCAGTTTACGCATTAGCAAAAATCAGCAAAAATCGACATTTAGGAAAGGTATTCTTGTAAACACGTTGATGCCACAATTCATCGACAGCATAATTAATATCTCTCAGATTATCACCCTAAAGTGCCCTAAACGTTTCGGCGAACATGTTCAATGTTCCAATGTTTCACATGTCATCGATGTTCCAAGGACTCAAAGGTATAAGAAAAGGAATTATATGCCAGTTATTCCGCGCTACGGATTTTGTGTCGTTGATGTATCCTTGCTTTTCGTTTTGTCGCATTCTGGGAATATTTCCATACAAGATCAACGCTTCGACCATCAAGGCTTCCAAACAATACTATATTCTATCAACCATTATTATCTGCGTTTTTTGCACGATCCAATTAAAAATTCTTTATGAGATCAATACTTCTAACAACATAGCATTCAAAAACATTGGGACACCCAAATTAATTGAACGTAACTTTTTCAACATTATCGGTGGTTTTGAAGTAGTCATCACATTCATTTTGAGTGGACCACGAATGCGTTTTCTTCAGAACTTACTGGAGCTCTCTTTAAAATTACCCGCGAAATCATATCAGAATTTATCTAGACTGATACATGCCAAGGACATTTTTGGATTTCTCTTTATGACAATTCAATTGTCGACATTTTTTTACAACATGCAGTTTAGTATCGTCCGCAAGATTCATATACTATACGTCTTCTTGCTGGAGTTACAAATGGATATGCTATATATGAATTGTGTTTGCATACTAAAAGCTTGTTTCAAACAAATCAATGATAATCTGGCAAATCTGCGTGAACTCAAGACGAAAGGTGAGCCATATCTCTTGAACGGCACCTATCATAAACAAAGAATTCCATTCCTACTGATGATGATCATAGCTTTGAAGAAGCAGCATTTGGCAGTCAGCGACACAGTACAGATGCTAAAAATGGTCTTCAGCTTGCAACTTCTTTCTACGCTAGTTATGACTTTCACTCAAATCACCTTCAATCTGTACTTTTACTTAGTGCAAATAAAAGGGGATGTGTCTATGAGTAATCAGGAAAGACAGCTTTATTTGCTGTACTTCATTATAACTGCAATATATTACTGTATAAAAATAATGTCGATAGTATGGGCTTGTGAGACCGGCAAGAATCAAGCCATGGAGATTAACAGCACCGTTCACGACGTGTTCAACACCACCAGCAATAAGCAAATAAAATACGAGGTAAATAGAAAGTATTTACCAACTTTAGTGACATATTTTATATACTTTTGTAATTAAATCCCGCGTATGCTAATACGATTATTAATATATTAATTTACCATGTTTATTTATAATTACACATCTTTCAATTTTATATTTAACAATTTTTTAATCTGACTTTACAGTTGCAACTATTTTCCTTGCAATTATCGCATTGTAAAAATACATTCTCCGCAAAGGGGGTTACTGTGGACGCAACACTCCTCACTGCGGTGAGTGATCAACCAATTACTTTCATTAATTGAATGTATAGATATATTTAGCAATGTTTTACGGTATTGTTGTTTTAGATGACAGGTGGCATTACCACGTATATATTATTTTTGATACAATTTTTGTCCGTGTCGAATTCTTGCAATGGAAATCTGTAATATATGTAATATAGTCAACAAATATACATGGTTGAATGTAGAAGAAATATTTTAAATATATTAATTTTTATTAATGTAACCAGAATATCATTGTGAATAGAGTTTTCCGTAATGTTTTATGCTTATAGAGATGTTGCGTAAATATACATGTATATATAAAAAAATTTGAAAATGTTATTTTACATAATGTTAACAATTAGTTGCAAATAGCTGATATGTTTTATTTATTTAAGTGTACAGTGTAGTCAAACAATATATGTAATATATTCACCTCTGAGAAACAACACTTTCGCAATAATTAAAAACATTAAATTTTCTAGCCATAAGCTAAATAAAAATTGACTCGCTAGATCAGGAAACTTGCAAGAAAAGAATACATCTTACTAACAATAGGTCGTAATCAAAACAACAGATATATGGCTTATTAGTCTCATCATAATATTCTGATTTATAACTAAATAAAAAAGAAATAAGCATAAATGATTGCGTGAACTACATTGCTAGTCATATTTACATTTATTGTCAGAGAATTTAAGTTCAGAACTGTGAACAATTGCTGCTTTTTGAGCGAGACA